CTGGCTGCCCCGCGCCCAGCCGCGGAGACCGAGAGCCCGCTGGCCACCGCCGGCTTGGCCGCCCGAGTTTCTTTGTACGACAGTAATCGATGCGCAGGGGTCGAGTCTCGCCCGGATTTTAAGGCTGCAGGTATCTCTTTGAACTGCAGCACTCCAACTTCCTCTAATGGCACGCTCAGTCTGCAGGAAACCACAGCCGTAGCTTCGTGGAGCTTCCCACGCCGGCCCTTCCTCCGAGCTTGTTCGCACAGCAACGCAGCTGGGGCTCCTCCAAGTCTCAGCCTCACCCCGCCGGGAAGACAAAGCTGGCGATGGGAGGGGGAAAACGGCCCGCGAAAGTGCTTCAAGATAGTGCCTTTGTTAGAAGAAACGTTGGATACACTCCGAATGCGACGCAGGCTTCCACTGCCAGCGGTTTCGGTGATGCAGTCGTTGAATTGCGCTGGCCCTAATAATTCCGCTTGGCAGGGTTCGCGTTTATTGCAGAAAGAGACTCTTAAGCTTTCTGTCAACACATATGGCAGAAAACGCCTCAACCATAACATTGCACAGTTTTTGCAGTTACTGTTTTAAATATGTTAACAGACAAGACGGCCTTGTTTTACCCGGAGGAGGAACGTAATAGATATGAAACAAACCATTCCCCGCCCCCAGTCTGCTGTACTTAACCGTGTACGGTGGTGGTAATTAGTCTCTGAGTCCCTGAAGTCACTGTTTCAGTTCTAACGTCTGTATTGCAGAGATAATTATTTATTATCAAGTTTGAATAAAGAGCTGTATGCCCTACAGATGATTTTTGGCTTTCATCCAAAAGAAGGAATTTATAAAGTCCATCAGAGTTATTTATCAAAATGAGTTGTACACTACTGACGAACACTCGAAATAACTCCAAAGATAGTCTACACATGCTATTAGGGGTGGGAGCGTTCAAACTACTTCCAGAACTGCTAAAATTAACATAGGTAGTTCCTTCGTGTAGAGCAGAGGTAGATAGTACCAAAGTGTTTAGGCTTATTCGGTGCTGGAGTCCAGAGAGCATTAAACTAGAAGCTAGGAAACGAAAGGGCGCCAGGTATGCTAGTAATACCAAGCTAGTTATCTATTTTATGTGAATACGAGTCTTAGCCATTGTACAAATTCTAAAGTTAACATTGCATTTTTAATCATCATAAAGATTTCTTATTTCACTTTCAACAACTGGTTTCAATGACTAGACTCAGTGGTCTAGCTCTGAACTGAAAGTCACTGTCCAGGATGCGGTATGTCTCATAATCCCACCTACAGCTGGGATTCTGATGTCGCATTTAGTCTGAGGTTGATTCAAGATCCCTATGTAGCATCATAGATTCAAGTAAACCTAACTCCGCCCTCCCAAAACCTAAATAAATAGGACCTGTCCTGGCCCTAGCCTGTTTTTAAACTGATCTGGGGGACCAATCTGGCTGATTACTATTTAGGCTAGAAAAGTCTGTATAACCAAAAACCCTTCCTTCAACTCACCTGATATTTTACCACTAGAGTTTAATCCCGTTTAGTATATTTCTCTAGCACAAAGCCATAATCCTGGGAAAGCGAATATTTTAAGCCTTATGATTTATACTTAACTCAGATCGTTTCCTCAAAGCAGCTTTTGGTGGAAGGAAATACAGAGATAGCATATGTTGATGTAGAATAGGTAAGGAGAGGGAAATGTGGTTTAGTGTGGGGGGAGGGGCAATACATGGAATGTACAGAAGTATAGACAATAAAATGCTCCCCCATTTGATTGTTAAATATGTCCTACTTACTCATATTGTAAGAAAGAGCCCCAAACACTGGTTTTAAAAGGATAGAAAACAGGATGCACTTACCAATGTAACCTA